GTCCATGCTGATGACAGCAATAGTGTAGTGCCGTGGCACTATCCAGGCACAAACAGCTTTAGTGCTGTGCTCTTTCACGTTGGATCTGCTTTGTAAGCCATTGGTAGTGCTGGCCACAGAATTAGCACTAACAGTCGGGCAATGACAGTTACAATCTGTCTTTAAGGCCTGGCCAGGTTTCTTTCAGGCTCTTGTCTGGGGGCCTGCTGGCATTTTCACAGTTGGAGAAAGCTGCAGATTTTCTCAACAGTTTGTGATTACTATTGCATCATCCAGAAAACTTAATGAAAGCTTTCTAGCTTTCACTCAAAAAACCCATGATGGGGGTTACCTCTGAGGATGGGCATGGGGGCTTGCAGGAGTCATACCTTTGGATATTTCACGGTGCTCACATATTACTGATCTAACACCTCCTCCACAGCCTCGTTCGGAAGGTCTAGGTGTTACAGCCCCTGCCTCTTACCTGCCTTCCTTTCCTAAGATACCATTCTGCCAGAAGAACACTCTCCATCATTTTTCCCAGTTCTGTGATTATCTTCCCTTCCAAGAGTCACACTTCCTTCTTGAAGACAAACAGCCAAGTAGCTAGACAGTCAGGGGCTCCTATTACAGGCCTTCCTGATTTACTGACCAGGCATAAATAATGCAAGTTTACTAGCTCAGTGGTGGTTCTTCCTTCTCAGGAACGCTGCCCTGCCCTGGAAACTGTAAGGACCAGCACAGACTTCTGGATATGTACACTGCCCAGAACAAAGTAGTAATCTGGAGAACTATGACATCTCTTCACCTCCATCCTGTTTGATAGTTTGCAGGTTAAGTGCTCTCCGTTTAGCCTGGCATTCATGGCTCTTTATAATCAGGACCCAAGAGTTCTCCACAGCTCTTCTCCCGACAGGCACACCAGCCACACCAGTCTGCCTGTCACTCTGAACACGCCTTCCTCTGTTTGGTGAATGCTATTCTGGTGCTGTTCACCATACATGACACTGGGAAGTCTTCCTCTTTCCTGCTGCCCTCCCCACCTAGAGAGATGAGTAGCAACCTTTTCCTCCTCTCCCCTCCTGCAGCAACCGGGGTCACGCTTTTGGTTCATGTGGTCATTCATTGCATTGGATTAGAATGCACAGCCTCATATATCCACTTTCTCCGGTAGAACATGTGGAACTCAAGGCCAGGGAGCAGTCATCAGGATGCAGCCTTGTGCCAACGCAGTAGCAGGCACCCGGTAAGTACCTGCTCTGTTCTCTTTAACATCACCACCCCAAAAGGTTGTTGTCTAGTGTTGGGGCTGGGGCAAAAAGGGAAGTGAGGAAGGGTGTCGTGGGAGGAAGCTGGGGGTTGCCAGGTCTGAGAGCATTATGAAATAGTCTCAGTTTGTCAATATGTATGTTGGAAGTAGTTCTTACCAGAATGAGTAACAGATGAGAAAGCGGCTAATTGTGAAGACATAGGATTTCTTGGCAGCATGAGAAGGTTTCCCTTTCTCTTTATGGAGGAAGAGAAAGATTTCCATGGGGGCGTTTACCCTTGAAAGCCTTCACAAATGTAGTTTCTGAGTTTGCATGTTAGATGAGGAAAGTGGAGGAGAATGAGGAAGGAGATTCCGTTTCAGGCCTGAAAACCCCTTGGAACCGAGTGTTCAGGTCGACCCTTGGGAAGTAGATCAGGCAGGAAAGCAAGAACAACAGAGAGAGGTGGAGACGGGGAGCAGAAGCAGCAGCAGTCCGTCAGTTCCTCAGGGCTGTGATGCAGCGGGGTGGCCAGGATCCCCAGGAGGTGGCAGGGACTCCAGCATCATCCCCTCGCTGACCACCAAGCCTGAAGCTGCAGATGTGGTGCGGGGGTGGTCCCTTTCCTCCCACCCCACTCCCAGGGTGCCTCTGTGCTACACTGAAGAGGATCCTCCATAAGGAGGCCACTCTTTGAGCGATGGGTTATTCTGTCTGCTCAGCTCTGAGTTTCCCTCATAACATGCAGTTAGAGGTGGGAAGGCATTAGGAACAAGGAGCCTGGGAATTCAGTTTCCTGTCTGACTCCAATTTACATGTGACTCCTGGGACAAGTCATTTAGCCTCTCTTGGCCCCTATTTCCCATCTGTAAAATCGGGAAGTTACCACCCCACCAAAAATAGATGCATTTGATGATACTGAGCATCAGAAACAGGGGAAATAAGTACTTTTTATATTAGCAGTGATAGGGCCTGTGCATGATCTGAATTACATTAGGCTGTGAGACTCTGCAACTGTGCTAGTCTGTGTGGGTGGTGTCTGAGTGTTGGGGGAAGTAGAGGGAAGTGTTTTCTGCTAAACACTGATTCAGGGCTGTTGTTTTCCAGAATCAATCAGGCTGCTGCTAAGAGTCATCCCAAAAGTGAAAATGAAAATTCCAGGGCCCATTGTGGGACTATGGACCTGAGTGATTTTGGGAACACTGACTCCAGTGAGGATCCAAAACTGGAGAGAATGGACCTAAAAAATGGAAAAAGCACAGATGCCAGACTCAGTAGCAAAGTAAGTGTTGAAATTTAACACTGAATACTAAACTGATTCCCTACCAGATCTTCCGGAAGAGAAACATGCAGCCATTTGGGAAGCCGAGGGTCAAGGTCCTTTTTATTCCAGGTATCCTGAGAGAGGCTCTCACATGTCAGTTCCTAGTGCTTGACGGAATAATTTCCCTCCTGAGTTAGATGATTCATTGGAAAATGAAGCCCTCCTGTTGAGCCCTTTAAAAAAAAAGCTCTCCTTTCTTTACTCCCTTAATTGCAGAAAGTAGAAAGAGGGTGACTCAACCCCCATTAGCAACCCAGGGATCAAGCTGCTCAGAAACCTCAGAAATGCATAAGCACCAGCCCTCTTTGCTGCAGTCAAATGGGTCAAAACTTGGAAGAGGAACTGACTTGCTGTGGTGGCTGCCCATTTGACAGCCATGCCTGCCAGCTGAGCCGTAAATCTGACAACACCCGAGCAATGCTCTGTTTTCTAAAACCAGACTTCAGTTTTGTTCTGAAGATGCCGTGGTATAAATCAGTAATGTGTCTACTTTGTAACTTTCTGGAATAAATACCAGAAAGGCACCGGAAGGGGAAGAATTCTCTGTGGGTTTAACACCAAGGTTTATAATTTTTTTTAGGTAGTTTGCTAGAAACATGAGGCGTTTAAGGAAGACTTTAAACATTCCTGCAAAGAAGCTAACAGACAAGCTAGAATGTGGGACATTCTGTACAACAGTGGTTTCGACAGCAAGTCAAGGGTAGAAAAAACGTGGGGAGGAGTTTGTTTTAGATTAAAGGAAATCTGGAAGATATACCTGACAACCACTTGTAATGCATGGGCCTTGTTTGCATCCTAATTTGAGCTATTCAGATGTGCAAGGCATTTTTGAGACAACGGGGGAAATTTGATAATGGAATGGGTTAATAACACAGGCTTTTTATTTTCACGAGACATGAAATGTGACAGTATTTGGCACGTGGTTATGTGAGATGGCAGCCCCATGCTTTAAGAGATGCACACTCAAGTGTGAAACAGCAGCCTGACATATCTGGGTTTTATTTCATCAAAGGACTTCTCTTTTATCGAAGGAAAAACAAAAGCAAAGAGATGGAGCAAATGTGGCAAAATCTTGCTAATTATTATATCTAGGTGATGGTGATGGGTGTATGGGGGTTCATTATAATGTTCTCTCCACTTCGGTGTATGTTTGAGATGCTGTCATAATATTTTTGTGTGTGAACGTAAGCCTAAGGATGAGAAGCATCCGTCAGCTGTCACACGTGGGGAGGGTTGAGAGTGGGGGCACTGTGGCTTTGCCAGGAAAATAAAAGCAGCATGGGCTCTCAAACTTGAAGGAGCTCTGCAGAGATGGCTCCTTACTCTCTGTAAACAGGGAAAACAGTACCTTTCATCTTGATGGAGAACTCCCCCAGCAGACTCTCCAGCTCCGCTTCAATGGTGCACATATTCTGCAGAGGGGACAGGACGCAAGCATGAGAGCCAGCCTTTCACCCAGCCGCGCAAAGCACGTGACATTTCAGCAGCAGCGCAGCCTGTTCACTGCGTGAACAACATGAAGCCTTTACCTGTTTGCTGCACACAGCACAGCCCATGAAACGTTCTAGACAAAATGTTCGATCTGAGCCTAAGCCCACCTTTTAGTGTGTAGGAAATTTAGGGCATAGATGAGCAAGTCAGATTATGTCAAAAACAGACAAATTCAGAATGTGGGATAGTCTACAGGAATTGGCATGAATTCTACAAAAAGGCAGTGTCATGGGAAAAAGATTTCTAAATAAATAGACTAGACAAACATTAATAACCAAATGCAACTTTTTTTTTTTTTTTTTTTGAGACGGCGTCTCACTCTGTCACTCAGGCTGGAGTATAGTGGTATGAATGATCTCGGCTCACTGCAACCTCTGCCTACTGGGTTCAAGCAATTCTCCTGCCTCAGCCCCCTAAGTAGCTGGGAATACAGGCTCCCACCACCATGCCCAGCTAATTTTTATATTTTTAGTAGAGACAGCGTTTCACCGTGTTGGCCAGGCTGGTCTCGAACTCCTGACCTCAGGTGATCTGCCCGCCTCGGTCTCTCAAAGTGCTGGGATTACAGATGTGAGCCATGGTGCCCAGCCTCCAAATGCAACATCTTAACCTTGATTATGTCCTGATTTGGAAGTAAATAAATCAAAACAGTTGTAAAAGACATTATTGATCCAAATAGGGAAAACTTAAAAATGGACACTATGTTACATAATTCTGTAGGATGATTGTCAACTTTCTTGCTTGTGGTAATGGTACGTGGTTACGTAGGAACTGCAGATGTTCCCTAGGTGGTTATTAAGAGATCCATGGCTTGATTTAGCCATTATATTACATATTTCAGTATACATATACTTCAAAACATGTTGTACACCATAAATATATGCAGCTTTTACTTGCCAATTACAAATAAAAAGAGATCCAGGTTAAAGTATTGATAGGGTGAAATGTCACAATGTTTATCACTTACTGTCAAACGAGTTGAGGGGATGGAGGGGGGATTTGAGCGTATGAGAGAGAGGGAAAGCAAATATGGCCAAATATTACTGAATGGCAGATCTAGATAAAGGCATATGGTGTTCAATGTACTAGTCGTTCCATTTTTCTATAGGTTTCAAATTTTTCTTAATAAAAATTTGGGCCAAAAGAGCACAAGAGCTGACTTCTGCTCAAGTAAGTAAGGCAGACTTCCTGCTGCAATGCCACAGCACCCCCAAAGTAATTTTTGGGTCTGATAAGCGTCCTCTCTTTGATGTTGAAGAAACAGGATAGAGAGAAGGAGTAACACCATCTGTACATGTGGTTACAGACATAACTACCCTGAGCCTACTTCCTCAGTAGCCAAGGACCTAAATAGAACAATTGCAGTTAGAAGTCAGAAGGGAAGGTGCCACGGCAAGGAGCCAGCCCCGGGGGCCCTTCTGCTGCTGGACCACCTCACAATCTGGATGGTGCCTCTGCTGTGCTCAGTCTCCACTGGAGCTTGACGCAGGGTGCTACCTGCAGGCTTGTGGCTCAGTAGGCAATGTCCCACAAGGCTAGGAGTTCGAGGGTGGTCTCACTGACAGAAGCATGGGCCAGCTTGATTAGTGCAGGCTGGTATTGCTTTGATTTGAATTCTGTATGCTGAGGATCTCAGCCTAGAGGTTCTGATTCTTCTATGTTTCTTTGTTCTGCTCCAAATGAGCACTCTCATTGGATGCAAAGAGAATGGCATTGCTTTCTCCCTTATAGGGTTTCAGTACCTGAACTACCTAACAAGGCTGGGGAAAACTTCCTGAAGTCTGAGTTCTGTGTAGCTTGAAAGCTTTGAAAATGAAGGCTCAGTATTATAAACCAATTTATTTCCTCAGAGTATTGGCCACCTCTGTGAAGAAATGCACTACGATTTCCGGAAATATAAACTATGTTATCATGCATGTCAGGATTGCTACCAGTATCTCTGAAAAACTCAAGAGCAGCTAGGTTAAGACTAGAGGGGACATCCGTGGTCAGAATTTTCTCCTGCCCATACCGACCTCCTGCAGCCACTGATGAAGATTGCTGCATATGCAGAAACACCTGAGCCACCTTGATCTCATTCTTAAATCCTCATTTTAGACCCTCATCATAATAAAATCCTGGCTTTTATGGTTATGTGAGGATATATTTCTTTCCTGTGTTTTTGCTTTTTTTTTTTTTTAATTGAGATACAGTCTTGATCCATCACCCAGGCAGTGGCACCATCTTGGCTAGTGCAACCTCCGCCTCCCAGGTTCAAGCGATTCTCCTGCCTCAGCCTCCCAAGTAGTAGCTGGGATTACAGGCGCCCGCCACCACACCCGGCTAATTTTTGTATTTTTAGTAGAGACGGGGTTTCACCATGTTGGCCAGGCTGGTCTGACCTCAACTTATCATCCCACCTTGACCTCCCAAAGTGCTGGGATTACAGGTGTGAGCCACTGCACCTGGCCGTGAGGATATAAAACCGTCTGATGCCAAGTGAGGCGTGGTACGGAGCTACGGAAGTCCCGGACTTCTTTCTTCTCTACGGCAGTTTACATTGCACTCTATGTCTTTGAATTTGTGAGCATGATGCCATACCCTGGCACTTGACCGAGGTGGCTCTGTCTGAAGTGACCTGCAAGTATGCCGGCACAGGCAGCCCCTGCAGGCTGCTGGCCGTTATCTGCATTTGTACTGTAATCACCCTTTATAACTGGAAACGGCTCTCCTGATTTCAGAGATCTGTAGACTTGGGGTCTCATGAACTACGGTCGCTTCAATGTGCAGGTCTGCAAAGTAGGATGGGGGAGGGGAGGAAGAGTCGGATCCTTACTTTCACTACCCTGTAACTGAAATTAAACATGTTTAGGTATGACGAAGGTAGAAAACGGGCCACAGCAGTATTAGTCATAGCCGAGACTTCTACAGTGATAGAAATCACATTTATGTTCATGGCACATCATTTATTGCAGATAACTTGTTAAAAAACCATTCATAGTTTTCATTACGTTGACGTTTCGGCAGTCGTTAGAGCCATGGCCAGAGCTTATAATTTGCTGTGTTAATAAAGCAGCAGTATCAAACTATGTCACACATTTGACTTTTGAAATATTTTGAAAACTATATTGATGATACTGAACTGTATTTCAATATATTTTCTTCTTTTCAGTTCCTATGTATTTTTTTTTTTATGCATTTAAAAAACACCATTCTAGGCCGGGTTTGGTGGCTCATGCCTGTAATCCCAGCACTTTGGGAGGCCGAGGTGGGCGGATAACCTGAGGTCAGCAGTTCCAGATCAGCCTGGCCAACATATAGTGAAACTCCGTCTCTACTAAAAATACAAAAATTAGCTGGGTGTGGTGGCGCATGCCTGTAGTCCCAGCTACTTGGGAAGCTGAGGCAGGAGAATCACTTGAACCTGGGAGGCAGAGGTTGAAGTGAGCCAAGATCACACCACTGCACTCCAGCCAGGGTGACAGAGCAAGATTCCATCTCCGAAAAATAAAAAGATAATTTAAAAAATTATTCTAAAGGAGGAACTTAGTAGTCTTGCTTTAAGTCATATAAAGGGACAAACTTGGTTCAGACGAGAGGCAACATGGGAGCGTACACACAAAGGGATCCCACTGACAGTATCCAAGATGTCCCTGTGGTCCCAGGCTGAGACAGATGCTCAGCTCTGGGAATTGTCCAACAGACCCTCTTCAGGCTGATGACTTCATTCATGAAATCTGATCTCTGAACAAAGACTCATGGGATAGTGAGGAGTGCTGCTTTAATAATTTAGTCATTTCATCAAAGACATTGGTATTAGGTGACCCCAGGAGGAGTGAAGACCTCTCTATGTCAGATGCTTGGGCCCCAGAGAGTTGGAAACCAGGAAAGCACACTTCTGTTCATACTTCTTAATCTTGGCTCCTTTATGATAAAAATCTCTGACAATAAAAAAAGAAATTGTAGGCAGAGGATTACTGATACCCAACACTGACATCAGTGTAGCTATCTGAACCACAGGGTCTGTACCACTTCCTGGGTTAAGCTAGATTCAACTGTACACTAGAATATTTAGAAGTGTATTTGAATGACAACAATCAGGGCAATGTGGCTCATGCATTCATTTTATTTTATTTTAGAAATGCAGCTGCGCACTGTCATCCAGGCTGGAGTGCAGTGGCGCAATCATAGCTCACTGCGGCCTCAAACTCCTGGGCTCAGCAATCCTCTTGCCTCGGCCTCCTGAGTACCTAGGACTACAGGTATGTGCCACTGCACCCAGTTTATTCCTTCGTTTTAAGCAATTCCACCCATTGCCTTTGTTGCATACTTTTAAGGCTAAGAGTAAAGCCTATCTTTAGAGAGGGGAGAATGAGGTTGTGGGTTGCTGTTTGCCTCGTTCTTGGCAATTACCAACAATTCACCCTAGGCCAGGTAGGGTTCAGCACCTTAAGCAGGTTAGCGAGTTATACCTCTGTGTACTCCTTGTGGCTCCGATTGATCTCTGACAGACTCTCCCGGGCAGCTTTGCTGGCAGGGGATGTTGCAAAAGCTTGCTTCATTTTGCTGGCACCATCCTGGAGACGTCGCTGGATACAATAAGCTTCATAGAGTTCATCTACCTGCCAGAATCAAACCAGGAAACAGAAATAAATGTCAGGCTTGAAAGAAATTACATAGATCATTGTTGTGTGCTTAAGGTACTTTATACTTCTGACCTCTGCAAAGAGAATTCTGTGGAAATATTATCCTTTTGGATACAGAGCAATCATTTTTATCTTAGCCACTGTGATACATTTTGTCTCAAAACAAATTTTGCACTAGTCCTGTTTTCAAATTATGCAGAAGGGAAATGACTCTCTTGCACTGTTCGAAGCTATCATTGGAATTGTTTAAAATGACTCCTAGGTGACTTAGTGTGTCCATGGGTGGACTGTGTGAGTTAAGAAGTAAGGAAGGGTTTATACAATTTCATACCAAAGCGACAACTTTGTAGTATCCTAAGCTAATGTCACTTTAAGACGTAGTGTCACAGTATTGGGATATGTAATCCTGATATTTACATATCCGGATTTAGCATTTCATAAAATAGCTTGCGGATATTTACTGAAGATAACTTTTGTAAAGCATTGGCTCAACTGTAAGAAGAAAAAGTTATTAAAATTAGAGTAAAACATAATTGTCAAAATGTATCAAACTGAACACTTAAGAACGGTGAACTCTTGCTTATAAATTATATGGCAATACAAAAAAATACATTGAAAGCAATATAAATGAATTTTTGTTACATATCTACACTTATGCTTCTAAATAATAATAATATACCTTTTTCAAATGAGTATTGATTTTATACCATATAAGCCTGTTAATCAGCTAATTCTTCTAAGGCAGCGATTCTCACTCAACCCAAGGCAATTTTGACCCCCAGGGGTCTGCTGGCGATCCAGTGGGTAGAGGCAGGGGATGGTGTTGAACATCCTATAATGCAGAGGACAGCTTTCTGCAACAGAGAATTATTCCCAAATACCAATAGTGCTGGGCTTGAAAAATATATATATTTTTTTGAGGTGGGGTCTTGCTATGTTGCTCAGGCTAGTCTCCAACTCCCGGGCTCAGGTTATCCTCCTGCCTTAGCCTCCCAAGTAGCTGAGACTACAGGTGCATATCACTGTGCTTAGCTGAAAAGAACCTGATCTAAAGTTATTCCTAATGATATTTGTCTCTGTAAGTCTTGTACTATCTTTAACTGACTGCAGTTAACTACAAGAATTTTCAGGCAGACAACAAACAACAATACCATCAGGCATTGTGAAAAGCAGATAAAAGCTATTGCTTTGGGGAGGCTTACTTACCTAGCACTATTTCAATTTTCATTTCAGTATGAACTTTGTTCCTTCAAAAAGGAAGCTTAATTATAGATTCAGAAGAAGGTGGAAATGCACATACTAGATTTCAGAGTTTAAGAGTCCCCTTTAGTTCTGAAGGCAAACTGGGCTGCTCAGTACAAAGCATTCCTATAACCTGGCAGAGGAGCACACTTTTCCATAGTTGCTTTCTCTACACAGATGTCGACGACACTTAGCTCATAATGCAAACATTAAGAGACTCAAAATTATTCTCTTGATTAAAGGATTCTTTGTTGCTATTTACTTCAACAATGCACTCAACTCTGCCAGGAAGAATGCCCAAACTGAAAAGAATCATGTTTAACCTTCAGGGTGAATGGATTTATCTCTGATTAGGAGGGAGATATAAGACTCAAGTCTTGTCATATCTGCTGATGACATCCTGTGGTTGATGACCAGCATAGAGGGTGGTTTCCATGCTTTAAAGCTAAGCCTCATCTGGTGAGCTTTTTAAAATGCTGATGCCCAGGCCCCACTCTGAGGTGTTGATTCAGTAGGTTAGGGCTGGGCCAGGAATCTGAAATTTTAAATAACCATTGCAAATTTTTCTGATACGGGAGATCCCCACAAAACTTTTGGAAACCCAAGTGCTAATATCTCTTCCAGTGCAGGTCAGGCTAGGTGCTAATATCTCTTCCAATGCAGGTCAGGCTATTTTACCCATGTGGTCTTCTGGTAAAATGTCCCTGCAACCCTTTCCCCTACTAGTAGGTAGGCCAAAGATTCTGAGCTTGTAATCTTTTCAGTAAGGACACAGTGCTCACGGGACCATCGGTGTAGCCACGATGACTTCATCTATTACTTTGTGTAGCGAGAAAACTTATTCTTTGTTTTTGCTTAAATATCAACCTATCCTAGCCAAATGGAATTAAACTTTAGCATAAAGCATACCTATGTAGTCACCTTAGCAGAAACTCATTTGTAGGCAAACCCATTTGCTTACCTGTCAGTCAGCAGTGGCTCATTAAATAAAATGATTAATGGAATCACTCAATTACATATAATTGAGTATCTACAAATAGAGTATCACCGACCTTTAAAACCCATTAGGATTGTTGTATCTAACAACCATGGATACAAGATTGATAAATATACCATTACCTAATACTGATTATTTTCTTGCTGTTGTTTTGAATTAATATGTCAAAACTTGCCTGTCACATAAATACCTTCTCATGGATGCCATTGTTTTATTTATTGAGTTCAGCAGAAATAGGAGCAATTTCAGATTTGCCTAGGTAGAAAATACCTTTCAAAGCAAGAATGAGCAAAGGCAGTAGCATATACATGTGTATCCATACATACAAATCGTCTTAGAATTTTAAACAGGAAAGGATTCTTAGGATCATCTAGATCAAATCTGTGCACCTCCCCAACTCCTCTTCACACAGGGGGAAGCCAAGGTTCACACAGATGACACAGACAGTGAGTATGTGGCAGAGCTGGGAATAGAACCTAGGGCTTCTGACTCTTAGGGAGATCTGCTAAAACCCCCAGGCTCCCTGCTTGGAAGAGAGGCTAATGGATATAGACAAACAGGAATTGATAATGGTGTGACTTAGCTGCCTCTCAACATAAATATTTTCCAGGTGGCACTAATAATGTCTGATAGTTCCCAGAACAAGGGGGTGATGCCAGCCTTACTGGACCACCAGTGAGCTACAGGGTTCAGGGCTGATGTCAGGGACACTGACAATCCAGTGCACATCTATGGGAGAAGGGATAAAATGACACCTGAAAACCATGCCATACGACCCAGAGTGGAAAGAACCGAGGGCTTGAGAGATTTAGGGAGGCACGTAGACGGTGGTGTTTTGGTAGTTACAAGGCCTTCATGAAGAAGTTGATGTGGCACCAAGTGTTATGTGGGACCCAAGTGTAAAGTTAGCAAAGCATGGAGTTTTTTGCAGGGCTAGTTTGACTGACAGTTTCTCTCCAACCACACTACACTGAGGCTGTATGTTCACATGTCCTCTACTGGGTACTGTGCCTGTTACTTAGCACTTAATACATGTTTGTGGAACTGAGGTAGAGCCAAAACTGTGCTGGGCCATCAGGTCTTCGATTCTTAGCTCCTCCATCTTTAGTGCCCACCTGAGGACTTAACTGCTAGCCAGCTGAGGAGTCCATTGGATAAGAAATTCTCCATGCACTAGATACTGTGGTCAGGCCAAAGGTGTATTGGTTAGCAGCACAACTGAAAAACAGGCTCCGAGAACAGGAACTTCAATTACCTTACTAATGTGAAACTCCAGGCGTCTCATGTATCTTTCAATCGTTTTAATTTGCTGGAATTAAAAGAAGTTCGAAAAAGTATAGTCATTTACAGTTGAATTGATGTAGGCTTGTGAGAATATCTTTATTATATCATACTCAAAAGTACTAGGAAATCCAATATATTTCCACTTTCCTCCTGTCTTTGATGCTATTTTAGACTGCTTCTAATGCCAATTTGGAAAGTTTTTTTTAAATATTCAATACATATTCTGAGATGTGAACTTGAGTTAGTTATCAGAATCCCTGTGTTTAATATCAAGAAAGGTCAATCCAATGGAAGTCATTAGATTCTGACAGAACAGTATCCTATTGGAGTATATTTAAATTTCTTCATAATAATGTATTTCATCTTCTAAGATTGGATTTTTTTTCCCCATTCACATTTTAGTGTCTCTGAAATTGGGGTGCATTTTACAATTGCTACTGGCAGACAGCTGTCTACAAGCTCAAAAATAATCATAGTTGTTCATCTCTTTGAGTTGTAATCATTATTACATGCATTTAATTGCCCTTTAAAATGTCTTCAGAAAGAATATACTATGATTCAGCATTGAAATAAAATTACTGTGCACATAGAAAGGCATGGAGCAGCATCATATGTAAATTTTTTCAAAAAGAAAAAAAATCTGCATCTAAATAAGCCTAACAGAGTTTTCTTGATAACTCTAAAATACAGATTTTAGGTGAAAAGAAAGGACTATCAGAATGTAACTGGAATCCTTTTTTATCTTCATGGCACATGAAATCATAGTGCCTTTTCTAATCAACAGTGACTCAGATTTGATGAAGTAATTTATATTCAGAGACAACACAGGTAAAGGCCTCCAAATGCTTGGGAAGTTCTTAAACTTACCAAAACACTACTACCTAGTGGCATTTTTATGGAAGTGACCTTAAACAGTTTATTGAATCTGTAGATTACGGTACCTATTCATTATCCTCATTAGACAAAAGTACGCATTTTTCCAGGGTTAAAAAACTATCAGTTCTCTAGGATTTTACTGTCCCTAAGAGGGCCTCCCACTGACTTCTCAAGGATGCAGAGTTTCATTTTTTGAGACAGGGTTTTGTTCTGTCATCCAGGCGGGAGTGCGGTGGGCGCAATCACAGCTCACTGCAGCCTCGACCTCTTGGCTTCCGGTGACTCTCCCACCTCAGACTCCTGGGTAGCTGAGACCACAGGCACACACCACCAGGCCTGGATACTGTTTTGTATTTTCTTTTTTGGCAGAGGTGGGATTTTGCCACATTGCCCAGGCAGGTCTCGAACTCCTAGGCTCAGGCGATCCACCCACCTCGGCCTCCCAAAGTGCTGAGATTATAGGTGCAAGCCACTGCGCCCAGCAAGGGTACTGAGTTTTTTTTCTTATTAGCACCCCAACACTGAATGGTAACTTACCTTGTCGAGGTCATACAGCACACCCTACAATTAAAAAAAAAAAAAAAGGAATATCTGGATTTAAACATCATCCTCCAAAAGGTTACCCATCTTAATAGAATGACTTAGCCCACATTTTCATATTATCTGTGGAAATAATAATCAGCCCTACAAAATTCTACCGGATATTTTACATTTGCTTTAAAAGAAAAAAAAGTTGGGTTATTTTAAATACCAGTAAGAGTACATTTACAAGCCAACATTTATTTACAGTCTTACTAGCATTGCACACAGTCCTCTCTGCCCCTTGGAGGCTTTAAAGTTTTCACTTGCTTTGAGCTCTCCCGTCCTACATGTTGAGGGGCATGTAAATTCATGGCAACTAAAAAAATATTTTAAATAAATAATATGAATATAAAACACAGCAGTGTGGCATATGTGCTAAAAAATACTTCCCTCACTGTCTAAACAAATAAAATTGATATTTAAGAAGAGTTCTTGAGGCCGTGATATGCTTTTCACAAATTGTTTTTAAAGCCAGCTCATTTCCTGTGTGCTCACAATATCATAGTATCATCAGTGCACCATTCGCGTATCCTCCATATGAAAGGTTTGTGTGAAACACAAGGTCTTGGCAGAAGCCCTTCATTCGTTCACCATTGTTTCCAGGAGGGACATTTGCAGCCACTGAGGATGCTCAATGGCATTCAGCAGCTCTGAAGGCCCTAACACAAGGGATTCCACATAGATGCAGGCAATTTATACCCTAACATCAGTATAACATGAACACGTTTAACACTGAGAAAGCCTTGAATCTCTAAGCCTTTGAAAAGGACAAAGTATATATCTGAGCACATTTTCTACAAAAAAGCCACATAGCAGCTGCGAATGGCTAGCTGCACCTCTTAGGTATATGTAGAGTTTTCTTGGGCTTTTTGATTTCTTGAAACAGTAAGGTATAATACATAGAACTGAACAAAATCATTTAAAATAGTGTAGACAGAACCACCTCTTCAATCACACGAGTTCTCACAAATTCATTAAAATAGGAGAAATTTGCAACATAACATGTACTCGATCTGGTCTAAGAATTAACTTCTTATGGTGGTCACATCTAAAGCCTCTTTTCCCTCCCTCATTTTACTGATTATATTTTTGAAAAGTTGGAGACAAAAGTTCCAGATTCCAAATTCTTTATATTTTATATATTTTTTAAAACACAGACGGGTCTCACTTTGCTGCCCAGGCTGGTCTCGAACTCCTGAGCTCAAGCATTCCCCCAGCCTTGGCTTCCCAAAGTGTTTGAAAACAGGCATGAGCTTCCGTGACTGGAACCAACTTCTGTATGTACGAACAGTATGCTAGGGAAACTCCAACTTTTCATTTGCTTTATATTAAATTATTTGGGGGTGGTAGAAGACAATAACATTTTTTTTCCTGATCATAAAATTTCATGAAGATAGACATTTAAAAAACAATCTCATAAACATTCTTGGTAAATATTGAAAATTATTAGGAAGAACACATTAAGGAAAAAAAACAGCCTTCTTTTCCCTCCTAAGACATACTGGGGGATGCAGATAGCACTCTGCCCCTTGGATTTGCTTTTCATAAACATTCCTCCCCAGCCCCATCCAGTAAAAGAAGCTATTTGGCCAAAAAGAACAGTGTTAACATCCTAATGACTGGATGGTACCTACCAGGCGAGAGTTTCTTTTCATATCTTTTAACTGAGCTGTCAACTTGTCCAGCTCCGTCTGGTGAACCTCCAGATATTCACTGCAAAGATAAGACAAGATGTAATCTCTGTGCCTGTTCAGTGGGACCCGGTGCTGTTGCTGACCTTTCCTCCTCAAAGGGGATTAAGAATCGAACCTTGCTCTGTAGTTGGGGAGGAGGCTTTGTATTTTCCCAATATTTCAACATTTTGAAAGCTCTAGCAGTGGCACTGGATACTATCCAGCTGGATCAAAAAGGAGAAAAAGGCTGAAGGTCCCGAAAAGAAAACCAGGGGGAGGCAAGGGTAAGATGTCTGTAGAGTGAGCGCTGGGGCTGGCCTCAGAGAATTCTGTCCAGCCAAACAGAACAAACAGTGAGTGTCCCACTGCACACTAGGAAAATCTTATTCTGGGCTCACAATCTCTGTAAGATGTGAGGGAGGTTTCAGAACCCTTATCAGCAATCTCCAGAATGGATGTGTATGTCTGTCCATTATCACTTAAGTGAAACTCAGTACTGCACAGGGTCCAACGTCTCTCTCAATGTTATGAATGTGATGTGGAATACCAACATATTTCCCATCTTAGGGACTCATTTCAGGCTTCCCTAATGATGGTGCAAGAATATTTCCTACAGAAATAGACATTTTAAAAACGATCTGATAAGACCAGCTTTTCTCTGACCCCTTGGGTCTTTCCTTAGGTATATTGTCAGGTTCAAGTTCTTACTCAAGTCCATTTTTCAAGGCCCTGTAGACTTCTTCCACCCTTTTGGGCTGAGGCTCTTTCGGGGGATTGTTGTTTTTGTGGCCTAAATTGTGCATTTTCTTCAGTTTGGCCTGAGGCTTCTTGAGAGCGGAGGAATTTTCAATGAAGGAGTTACACCTATGGAAAGAAAAAAAGAACAGAAGAAATTATGAGGACTGGGCATCCAAAAGGATTTGGCCAAAGAACAATGTCTTTTATTATTTATTTATTTGTCTTAGAGACAAAGTCTTCCTCTGTCATCCAAGCTGGAGTGTGGTGGTGTGATCATAGCTCACTGCGGCCTTGAACTTCTGGGCTCATGAGCTCAAGTGATCCTCAGCCTCCCAAGTAGCATGCACCACCACACCTAGCTAAATAGTTTGTTGTTGTTGTTGTTTTTGTTTTTAAAAAGAGGGGGTCTTACTTTGGTGCACAGGGTGATATGCAGTGGTGTGGTCATAGCTCACTGCAGCCTTGACCTCCTGGGCTCAAGTGATCCTCCTGCCTCAGTCTCCCAAGGAATTGGGACCACAGGCATGCACCACCACACCTGGCTAATTTTTTTTTTCTTTGTAGATTCAGGGTCTGGCTTCAAGCAGTCCTCCTGCTGTGACCTCTCAAAGTCCTGGAATAATTCTTCTAAACTTTGTAGAAGTTTAGAAGACTTTCCCAAATTGCTGGCATTACAGGGTTTTGCTATGTTGCCCAAGGTGGTCTTGACCTTTTGGCTTCAATCATTCCTCCAGCCTAAGACTCTCAAAGTGCTGGGATTACAGGCATGAGCTACTGCGCCTGTCCAAGAAATGTCTTTGTAATCATCTTGCGTTCACATTAGTGTTCTTTGCAGAAGGTAATATTCCCAGATAGGAGCCATCCTGCATTTAGTTTCTTAGTATTAGATTTGTTAACTGCTGAAACCTGAAAGCTTTGTTGGGCAGAGGCTACCTAGAGTCAAAGTCTGGCTTCAGGGAATCTGTATTCCAAGTGAAAATACATTGCGTCTCTAAAACCGCATAGGAAGCTAAGGGCAAAGAGTTCCAGGTGGACATAACGAACAGGCAGAAGGATATCGTCCATCTAAAAACATACACGCACTGTGCAATTTTAGGTACGAGTGTCTATGAAATTCAACTAGGAGGTGAATAAATCCTTTTCGATAAGGGACCATAGCATGACAAAGAGCTAATTCTCTATGACATTAAAATACATGTAGCTTCTTTTTAGCTTGCTTTTTATGACATAAATTACTGAATAAGTTTAACTTACAAAAATTCATCTCTAGTAGTGCCAGAAATACAGTTTGCAGCAGTAAGTTGAATATCTGAGAACTGAAAACCAGAATACTCATCTGATTAGGAGCTGCAGAGGCTAGGGCACTCACGACCTCCGAGGCTGCAGGTACCACTGCACCCCTCCCAGGTTAGTTATGAGTTATGCTCTCTGCCAGCACCATGTGCCTGAGTAGGACAGTACAGATCAAAGCACACGGCTCCTCAGAGGGCAGAGACCTTTGTGATAACAGAAACACTGAAGATAAACCTGGTCACATGTTGCTTCTTCACTATCTGTTCTTTCTTGCTGGAGTTCCCCTAAGTCCTGTTTCAGATGAGAGGAGGCTGAGGAAACTAGAAAGACTAACTTTGGCAACTCCTGTCTGAATGATCTCCTCCCCAGTCAGTCTGCAGAGGCATAGTCATTATCTAGTGCATGACTTCATGGCAGACGTCGTCTCCAAAGTCCGAATGCAATGGGAAATGTGCTTCAAAAACGGTAGAAGTAGGGGTAGTGAGAGGTCTATGCATGTATCATTAGTTTCTCCTAAATCCTCAGCCATCATCCTTGCAGGAAAAATTCTAAATGAGAATTTAACCTGTAACACTTAACTTTTGGTACATCCTTTCCATGCAAAAGAGATTAAAATTGTATATGTATGTCTGTGTGTGTGTGTTGTGATGGGGCCGAAAACACGCAGACCCTCTTCACAACATCAAAGTTCTCTTCCTTGGCAAGCTGCATCCGGGAACAGAACCACACAGTACTTGCCTGGATCGCCTTTCCTGAAGGCCGCTGAAACCCGCGAAGGACTGGCTTCTAATGATCCCATTGGGCCCTCCAGGCGAAAAAGACTGGGATCCTACCAACATGATTTCCGGGAGCCTGGTCGGGAGTCCTAGAGGACAGTGGAAAGATCAAGACAACTTACAGGCAGGTTCAGATAGAAGATGCACTAAGCTCGTCGATGATAAAGGCTGTAAAGTGAGCCATGAAACCGTCAGGTGTTTATGAGGTTCTTTATTACGGAGTGTCCTGAAGACCAAGGGTTCAACTCCCAAATGAATAAAAATGATACCCATCTACCTAGACGAAAATGAATACAAATTACACAAAATTATCCATCACTTTAGGTTTTCTTCCAAAGTTTTTTTTTAAAACAAGGTTCAGCCACACCCTCAAAAACATGAAAACTGTTGCAACATTTACCGCCGTTCTACAACAATAAAAACACACAAATAGGCCAAGTGAAAGCTTCAGATAAGTCCTGCATCAAACTGAAAACACAGTCAAGTCTTAAGGCAGAATTCTACACCTCAGAGTCATAAGGCTAAAACACTAGGTTTCTTTAGAGATGAACTTACTTACACTAGTTCTCCCTTTCTATCCTTACGAATATTTTGAAAGCTAAGATTGTGCCACTACGGTGACAGTGCAAAATAAGCATGGGAAAGGGAACACTCACAAAATAAGTGATAATCTAGGTTAGATAAGAACACGGGGTGGGGGTGGAAGGTAGGAAAATACAGCAGAAAGCGCACAACCTGTACTTCAGTCATTTGCTTGGCTTTTGTGCGGACTTAACCACAACAGACCAAGAAGCACTGTCAAAACACAACTTTAGCTGAACAGAAGCTGAGGGCTAGTTCCCCCTAATGATGACTCTGGAACTGTTAGGTAATTCTATTCCTCTTAGATCAGGAGGAGTCAAAGCACATACCATTGTCTTGGCAGGTGACTTCAGTCCAGAGAGGGCAACAGGCTAGCAGGATAAAGGGAAATAGTTCCTGCCCAGATGGAAGACTCCAGAGGGGGCAGACACCAAATTGATGCTCTTGCAGAGCATCAACAATTGCCCTTTAAAAACTTAATGAAAAAGAAAGAAAAGCTAAAAAACTACAGCAGCAGAACTCTCTGGTAGAACATCCAGATGTAATGGAAAGACCAATTTCACTAGACGTTCCTCAAAGCTACGCGAAGCAGTTCAGCAAGAAAGGCAGTTTGAGCGAGTTACTTCCCAGAGAGAGAAGGGCAAACAGCCCCCTCCCCAATGCTGCTGCAGGATTTTCAATCTCCCCCACTCCCTCCAGAAGAGAGCAGCCCTGGGGTTTGTATGCATTCTTGCAAGGCTCAGGTGCTGACTCCCTTGGCCATAGGTCTGGCAATCGGCTTGCTCTTTATCTGGGTGAGATGCAAATCCCACACTAGCTCGGGAGGAGAAGCTTTTGTTTTAGGGCATTCTCCAGCATTTATAAGTAATGAAGAAGTACGTATGAGCAGTAAAAGTAATATGTCGGGCACAAATGGTTAGACAAAATGCAGGTGCAGATAAGGTGCTTTCTGGTTACCTCTCACCACCCTCAGGCTCAAAAAACTCCTAATTACTTTAAATCCTTAATGAGGTTCTCCTCTGCTCTCTGCTGGTCACTAAGAAATCTGTCTGCACTTCCCTAAGGGGACCTTTCTTAGGTTCATAAAGCATGCCTGTGGTATCACTGTGTGCCATGCAAGCTTCTAATAAACTACAGTGCTTTCTTGATATTTATGTTCTTTCTCTACTGAGTTTGACAACCAAGCAAGCACCCACCTTAAAGTCTCAATTGGGCAAATTTTGCTAGTATTGTATATTGTTTTATAAATTATTGTTCAATAGATCTATTGGATCACAGACACTCTTTGATCAAAGGAAAAAACTTAGGGTATTTGAAATATTTAACTATCATTTCTCATACCTCCTAGAAATTATATTTTTCAAGCCAATTGTCCCCCCTTAGCCATTGCATCACTGCAGTTTACACTACTGACGCCTGCCTGCTATCCCCAGGCACGGTTTAATTAATACGGGTATCACCTGGGTATGGGGAGGTGTTTAAAGTCCCCAGGTGATTCTGATGTTCATCAACTTTGGGCACCACTGACTTAGGAGAAATTTTGATTGAACAATCAGTTGCACTAGTGATAGGCAGAAAAGAGAAAAGAATAAAAAAAGACCAACTTCATTGCAAATTTAAGACTTCTGTTAAAATAATCTGCTACAATTAATCAACTCCAACTCTTTCATTAAATGAATTAAACGCTGCAGAATAAATCATATGTACCAGATTGTAAAATAATTTTCCTTCTTCCTCATTTTCTGTTAACAGGTAAACAAGGTTCTCACAATCAGAACAAATGTCTGTCCAGGATCCTAAGATTGTCAAATACTTTGGGAGGGGGACTAATGCTCAGAAACTTTGCATTAAATTTATGGCCAGGAGCGGTGGCTCAGGCCTGTAATCCCAGCACTTTGGGAGGCCAAGGTGGGTGGGTCACCTGGGGTCAGCAGTTCAAGACCAGCCTAACCAACACAGTGAAACCAGTCTCTACTAAAAATACAAAAACTAGCCGGGCGTGGTCCTGGCGCCTGTAATCCCAGCTACTCGGGAGGCTGAGGCAGGAGAATCTCTTGAACCTGGTAGGTGGAGGTTGCAGTGAGTTGAGACCAAGCTATTGCACTCCAGTCTGGACGAAAGAGTGAGACTCTGTCTCAAAAAAAATTTTTTTTTGAGAAACTGTTCATTAAATGTGCATATGGAACTGATGGCCACTAAGAATGTGACTGGGTGAGCAGTTTTGTTTTGTTTTGGCTTTGTAGTCTTAGAAATGATCATTATCTATCAGGAAAGAATTTGGCCCAGAGCTGGTTTAGGCTGGTATCTCTCTATCCCGCCCTCAATTCCCCTAAAAGGTGACATGTGGCCTAAGGAAAGTCATAAAACAAGCATGCACACACACAAATCTGGCTCCGGAAGAAATAAGAGGAGGAGGTTGGGGCAGGGTAGAGTAGAGGTGTCAGGGAGGAAAGTACACAAAACACGCCCAGCCCCAGCCGTCCCAAGTCTGATGGAAGCGTGGTAGCTCTTCGCTGCTGTTCTTCCCACTTCCCCAGCTCGTCTCCATCGCAACTGATCCTACACCTCTTCGTTATCATCTGTCATTCTTGTGACCGCCCCACTCCTACCTCTTAGCTCCTTATATCTTTAGGCTGTTCCCTGGCTTCCTAGAAGTCCCAAAGACCCGGTCTCTCCCCAGCTTTCAGCAAAGCTACCTCTAAAATTTTCAAGTTTTAAGGAATTAATTGCCCCTGCCATAGTAATCTGCATTTATGAACCAAAAGCCCTAACCTAAAGAAAACGCTACAGTAGAATTGCAGTATCACTGCTGGTAGGGATGTAAAGTGGAACTAAAACTTTGGAGAACAATTTGGCAGTATCTGTTTAAAATGCAAAACATACCAATCCCTTAACAGGGCGCTTCTTTGATAGCTCCTCTAGGGAAATACTCAAATGCATGAAGAGGCATATACAGAGATGTTCATTACAGACAATGTTAATAGGAACGGAAAATAGGAAATGATATAAATGGTCATTACAGGACCGGTTAACACTCAAAACTATAGGATAGAACATTATGTAGCAGTTAAAAACAACACAGCCGCATAGATCCTCAGGATAAACTGCAGAATGAAACAGAGTATGATAGCAAGAATGCTAAAAACAAACTCTATTAAACCATGAACACAAATCGAAAAGTTCTGAAAGTATACACAGTCTGTAGAGAGGTGGGATTTGGTGGTAGTTAGAAACATTTTAATTTTTTCTGTATTGTATTTTTATACAGAAAATGTATTTGTGTATTATTCATATAATGTAAAATTGTTTTGAAATTGCAGACATTTGGAGTTGCCTCAAAATGTAAGTGGAGACAGCTTATAAACGGGATCGTATAAGATAACGCTGTTGGGTAATAATTGTATTTATATAATTGTTTACATTTATCAGCCTTGCAGAGGGGAAATATGATTGCCAAGAAATATTGTATTAGGCTTTATACATTCTGATTACCTCAGAACTATTCAGATTTCCTGATAAAGTCACTATGAGTTCTGAGCTACGTATCAAGTTCATTATTTTTGTCTGCAAAACATTTAGAGCTGGGATTAGACTCCTGGTGACATGCACTATGCTTGATATATACTGATACATACCCGGTATATACTCTAGATTCACTGGTTCACCAGATGCCATATCTATTAAGCAAGAAATCCCACATAAAACAACAAACTCATCTCTGGACATTGCTCATGGAACTGTTGGGGCTTTGAAAGATGTTTCCAGTCTCTAAGTTATTGACGTCTCACCCGTCTTTTGGAAAATTCCACCATAACTTTCATTTTTGTGCGTTAAATCCCAGAAAGGATTCAAATCCTAGACAAACAGTGGGGCTGCTATCGTGTGCTCCTCACTTGGCTTTGTTGCAGGAGCCTCTGGCTGTCATACCAGGTGGCCACCCCCATGCCCTGCCATTCCTATAACCAATGGGAACAACACAACAGGGTCTTTCTGGAAGGAATCCCAAGCACCTTAACTAAGAATGGAACAAATCCTACCATTCTGAGCTGAGCCTCTAGGCACAGAACCCTGAAAGCCACAGCTGTTTCTCTTCCTGATTTCTTCATACAATGCAAATCACTGCCTTCTGAGTGTGCAGTGCTAAGTTCCAATTAAACATATATTTGGGTCTTTTAAAATTATAATGAGTATAAGATTTTTACATGTTCTTGTATGAACGCTGTGATGCAGGTGCACTGAGCTTTGGTGGATGCTATGCACACCTTGTGTCTGTTTAAATTAGAAGGTAGCTCATCAAATCGGCAGGCGGTTTTTGGACAAGAACACTGAATCTGAAGATAGAAGGGGGCTGAGGCAGATAAAAAGAGATCAAGGGATTTCCCCTCACCCATCAGGTCTCAGATTCTGATTGGACCAGAAATAAAGGGTGGAATATGATTGCAATGCAGAGGGGAAAATGTGCAGCTCCTTGGAGATAACCTGACTCTTAAGAATAAAGCACAGGAAT